CAGTATGAACCGTCCCATGCACACTCGCTCAAAGGACAAATCTAGGGGCTTGCTAACAATGTATGTAAAAACATACCTCTTCATCAAGAACGTTGAACGTTGGGCGTAAGTCAAAATCTACAAAAAACTTATTTTTTTTTTTTTACCTATTTTCATTTTGATAAAAAAAAAGCGCAATAAAGGTAAATAACAAAAAAAAAAAAAAAAAATTCCAGCTGGTCTTCTTTTAATATACAACTCATATATACACACCTATTACAAGTACCGTTCTTCGCCTTTCGAAAAACCTTCACCTCGTCATAATTTTAGGTTAAAAACTCATTAAAAATTTAATAATATAATCATGCTTTGATGTTTTAAAATTTTTTTAAAAAAAGAAAGGTTTCCAAATTGAAAAAAAAATGGTAGGTATTATATAGGATACTTACGCGTTACGTCAAGCAATGAAAAATAACAACGCGTTCAAATGATTCTCGAATATTTTAGAACATTTTAAAACAATTTTTCATGTGATATTATATTTCACATTATGGATATAATTTACTATCTCGTGACATGATTTTGCTGACCCTGGTTAGTGGTTACCTAGACCATGTAAAATTATAACTATTTTTTTTTATAGTAAATTTGTTTGTGCTACTTCGATCGGCAGGCAGTAAAAGATTCTTTTTTTTTTACAAATTTTCAAATAAAAATCATGTGAACATAACGAAACTTTTTTTTAAAATCTTAGAATTTGTTATAAATTTATTTTATTGTAATATTTGTTCACTCAATGAGAGGAAGTGCTACTAAAAACTGAGAGCAGTTCGAAAATCCATGACTATATCACGAAAGATCTCAAACTGGTGAACCAAGATTAACAGATCTGACTCGTCAAATTCAATGTCGGTATCTTCACGCATTCTCTTCGAAAATAGTTTTGATCCTTTGACGATATCTTTAATTTGTTTATGCTCTTCAATGATTTCACCAAGTTTCCTTCCTCTACAAATATTATTTAACGCATATCCGGCAGTTGCCCCACCAACAGCAGCACCAACAGCTCTCTGAAATATAAAGTCATTCGTTTGAATTAGTATTTATGATAAGTTTTCATTTATCGTGATATCATGAAATAATAATCACATACTTTAAAAGCGGTGTCTGCTTTGACTGCCACTATAAACGAGATGACGGAGACACTGAAGAAAAAATGATTCATGAAATTCGTCAATTTTGCGAATATGTATATAAAATCCGAAAACTCGAAAATCTTACACTGAAGCGGCTACAGTCTTAATAACCTGATCTTCTTTCTCTTCGTTCAGTACTTGCAATTGAACTTCCAAATGAACGTTTACTTCTTCCACAAATGGTTCAAAATCATTTTCAAGGTAATGTTGTAAATATTCAGCATTAACTAACGATAGGTAATAAATGTAAGTTCAATTGAGTTTCAACGAGTAGAAAACTTTGTATGGTTAATGAAATAATTAAAACGTTCAAACCTTGGAAGTGGTCTATTTGATTGTTGTTTAAATTTAGGAGAATTTTATTCAAAATTGTATGTATACGGTCAAACTTTTCCGTGAATTGATACTTTTGAACGTCAGTCAAACAATTTAGTTCGTCTTGTTTATAAGCTTTTTCCAAAAGGTAAAAAGTGCAGGTAAAAGCTAAAAGTGATAGTGCGATTGGCCAACATACGGAACTCTATAAAGAGAGATTGAAATTTGTTTGAGAGAAGAGAACAGTAATGATGTGGGTGTCTTCGATTGCAATCATGACAATAAACTTCTTTTAACATACCGAATTCTTCAAGTCAAAGCTCAATTTGTATTTTAACAATAAATTGAAGGTTTCAACAAGTCGAAAAATCCAACTTAGATTTGATATCGCTTGCTTTGACCGAAACAAAATCGCGGGAGTCCCGTCTTGTAGATCAAATTTTCGACAAACCATTCCAAAAATTTTTCCCAAAGTGTTAAGGACCGATACAGATATTTGTTTCACATCTCTTGCCAAGACTTTCAAAGCATCATTTAGAAATGTAATTGAGATTGTAGCCGCTGTAGTTACGGAATTGAATGGAAACCCGTTGAAAACATCTTCACCGGAAAGAAATTTGTTTATTTCTAAACTACTTCTGAGCAGGGGATTCTAAAACGAAACATTTATGTCAATGTTTTTTATTCGACGGTTTTTCCTTGAGTTTATGATACGTACCAAACGATCCAATTTCTTAACCTTATCGACTATATGAAATTTGCCATTATAAAAGAGAACCAATGGTTGATCCATTATGCGTGTTGAAACGAAAAAGAAAAGAAAACAGTTATTTATATTTGGATACTTTCTTTGTCCAACAATCAATACCTTTGTGATTATTGTTTTGTCATTACGACCAATAGTATTTCTAATCAATACGAAGGCGTAAGATCATCCAAAACTTGCATGAAAATGTATAAATTATAACAAATATAGTTAGAATCCAGTGAAATACATTTGACTTTGTTTGTTCACTAACACTAAACTAAATAATTTATAAGTTGATTTATTCGGTAATTCGGGCCAATAGCGGCCAATGAACTTGTAAATTAAATACCATTAAAAAAATATAAACTCGATCGTTCAAACCCAAATAAAATACATGTAAAATTCTTGATATATTGTTACAATGCACATAATTACTCATCTAAATGTACTGTAGAATCTTAAACAATAAAGATTCTTATCAAAAAAGCTCCGAGTTGGGTTCACGAGCTTTAACGTTTTCTCGAATTGTCTTGAAGCCCTAACGTTATTTTATAAAAAGAATAAAAGGCGAGTTATTATTATTTTTTTTTACCTTGCATTAGTCTAACGAAAAATCAAAAAATTGCGTAAAAGATTTACTTTTTTATTTTTATTTAAAACTTATCATGCCATTTTTTAGATTATCTAAGCAAAGTATTTTTTAATTTTATTTTATTTTAAAAAGGATCTTCCGGAGAAGCGTTACCAGAACGTGTCTTATTGAAAAAAAAGTTCTGGAGGCACCGTAAAATCGAGCCTAAATTATTTAGGTAGTTAAATTATTCAAATTATTACCTCAATTTTTCTGTATTTTGTTGCGGATCATTATTTTAATGTAAGTTGAATATTAATTTTTTTATTTCTTTCAAATTTTTTTTTAAATAGGAAACTTATTTTTCATTGTAACATATTATTTTTCCTTTTATACCTTTTTACTATCAATCTTGAAATTTACCACCTATTATACTACCAATCATATATCCCGACCCGGGTACAAGGTAAATTAATCCAACGGATGAGGGTAAGCTGCTGATAATAAATCTCCAAGTAATAAATTTTGAATATAAAGTGTTATTGTCATTACAACTTTGTTGAAAACCAATAAAGCAACATTAGGATAAATTAAAAGTGCTAAAGGTTCAATTGGATTAAAATTCGCACGGTATACTTAATTCATTGATTAGTGCTGAAGAATAAATGTCAGCTAAAGAGAAAGTGATGTTTGGAAGTAATTTAGATAAATCTTTAGGAAATGTTTCGGGAAGGAAAAGAATGTCAATATAACGAAGCTCCCGCCCAATATCGTTAAAAACCAAAAATTAAATCTCCATTCAAAATAAGTTAATAAACCTCCAACAGATGATCCAATAACTCCTCCTGCTCCTCCTGCCTCTCTACCAAAGATGAATATGCCATACGCTTGACCTTGTTCTATTTTAAATGAAAAAAAATTTTTTTTTAAGACTTGTAAAAAGCTAAATCTTATTATACTTACCATGATCAGAGAAAATATCGGAAATAATACCATTACCGATACATATGACTACAGCCACACCACAGGCTTGAAACGCGCGTGCTACGATATCCAAATATTTTTTGAAACAGCTCATAAAATATTCGCTACGAGAAGTTAAGCCAGATTGCTTTCTTGTTTTATACTTATCAGAGTATGACGCCCAAAGTAATGGTTAAATAACAAAAAATTATCGTGAAATATAAGTGAATGTATTTGGAGCAGCAGTTTTAACATAAACAATAGTGATTCGACTAAAAAATACTCCCGAAACATCCGTAAGAAATAAGAAAGGAAGCTATCGGTAAACCATTAATTAAATCATTAACATTGAATTCTGCACGAATTTCTTTAATTGCAGAATAAATAATTGTGAACCTATAAGCATAAACATATATCCAATTGAGATTAACGTTAGAATTGAATATTTCTTTTTTAGAGACCAATGTTTTGGGCCTAAATTTTTATTTTTGTAGTATCGATTTTATCAAGACTCTCTTTATTTACATGAATCAAAATCGAAGGTTGTTTATGAAGTTCATTTTCATCATTTTCTGAACGAATTGATTTTTCTTGTGAATCACCAAATGTTATTGTACTTGCATTTGTGAAAATGTAATTGTATCTGATCGATCATTATTCGCGATTGAATTTTCATTTTGAATTGAAATAAGAATTGTGGTAAGAAATATTATCAATGAGACTTTTCTATCAATATTAAATGAAAGGAAAGAAAAAAAAAAAAGAGGCCGTACCTTATATATTCCTTGGATATCATGATTAGAATATGTGCGTATTATTTTTGAATATAATCTTTTTTCAATGTATCGTTCTTTTTTATTAACAATTATTGCAATTTTTTTCTTAACCCTTTAATTTTTTTTTGCAGACCGGTAACACGTCCGATAAATATAATTCATTCCGGGTTTTTTGTCGGAAAGTTAATAGGTGTACCCACATTAATTCGTTCCCCATGGCTTATTATTTTGTCATTCACAAATTAATAATGGCATTTCTATAATAAGACAATCAATAGTTGTGGGGATGATCTACATTGCTTTGACAATCAATCATATTAGCCGATTCCATAAATAGTCGGACAGAAAATTCTGGATCATAAAAGACATTTAAATAAAATAGATTAGTATCCAGAATGTGGATTCATTTATTGGATATCAAATGTTAGAAAAGTTAAAAAATCTCTTAATAGTATTTACAAGGTCTTGTATAAGCTTACTAAAATGGATGCCAAGAAAAATACTTAAATCACTTATTGAAAAAAAGATGCGATCAATTAGAATCTCAACCTGGCAGAATGATAGATTCTATTTTACAAAGGAAAAAGAGGAAGATAATTTTGGATCAATAATAATGATGGCTCTAAACATTTTACCTTAAATCCTGATGAAATTAAAAGGTTGCAATCAATCACTTCCAAAACAATGCATTACCCGCGACACTCCCAAGATCTTTAGATGGTAGATGGATCTCACAATATCAACTGAGGGATTACATATCTGATAACATTTACGATAATCATATGCAACCTTCAACTTATAATGTATAGTGCTCAGTTCTCTTACACTTAGCAAAAGACAAAGCTGCTGAACTTTCAGGCATCCATAATAAAATGCTTCAACATTTAGAAGATAAATTTAAACACCTAGTTTAGCATGTATTTCATCATTAGTGATATCCTAGTGAATAAAAAATTGCTCATATATATCCAATTCTCAAACCAATGGAATGGAAATGTGATATCACAAAAACCCATCTAATCACATTATTAGAAACCTTATGAAAAGTATTTGTCAAAGTGGTTACAAATAAACTTTCAAAGATTCTTGTCAAACATCAAGTTTTGAAAGACAACAACTTTGCTACATTATCCAAAGACTCAACAGAAAAACCTATTAAAATTTTAAATATATTATTAGAAGATGCTAATGAAAATAAAAAAAAACTTTGAATTCTATTATAAGATCTCTCAATAGCCTATGATTATGTAAACCTTAAATTTCTTCATTTTGCTTTACAACATATTAGATTCCTGCTAAATGTGTAAATTTAATCATCAATTTCTTTACCAATAAAAAAAATGCCATTTTCACAGCTGATGAGTTTACTAATTACTATGATGTTAAAATTGGTATTAATCAAGAAGAAGTTATTTCTTCTTTATTATAATGTATTTATCTTAATTCACTTTTATATGAAATAAACACTTTAAATAAAGGATACAAAATCTCATATATATGAATATATAACATTATCAGCAACATTACTATGACTCTTTTAAAATATATATCTTCTTTAACCTTTATAGATAATACTAATTGGATTGTCAATTCTCAATTGAATTTAAAAGAAATTCTTGCTATAGTCAACTATTTCTATGATTTAACTAGAGCTGCTTTAAACAAAGCTTATTATGATAAAATTATTCAAATCTCAAATGATCAATATCAATTTTGATTTTCTGTTATCAATATTACACTTGAGCAAAATTGAGATGAGTGCTAGGAAAATGGACCAAATTGATTTTTTTTTAAAAAAAAAGTTTTTATGTAAAATAGATGTAGAATTGGTCATCTGATTCAGATCACTTGTTATTTCAAAAAAAAAATTTTTGTCAATTTGATTCCTTTTCCCAGCACTCATTCCAATTCATTAAGATTTTTAGAAATTTGAATCAATTATTCAAACTCCTAAACTTTGTTAAAACTCAGACTCAAAAAGATATCAACAATTTTGCAGCTATTATTAATCTCAAACCTCTTACAGATAAACAAATTGCATATGCGTATACCAGTTTACTAAAAGGTTAGCTTGATAATTCTAATGATGTTTTATAAGGCTATATATCGATACAGGCTAACACAGACTATAATAACCAGTTTTAAGTAAGTAAAAACTTATATTATAAGAACCTATAATATGATATAAGGAAAAAAGCAAAGGTATTAGTATACTGCAGTTAAACTAAGTAAGGTCAAATAAACTGTTACAGTTCATACCAGCTGATAGCATAGATACATATATTCTCAACTCAGGCTAACCAATGCAAGTATATAATTTATATAGTCTTATCTTCTAATCTAGAATTATTCTTAGCCCACCCATCTTATCTTGAACTCTTTTACTTTTAAGTTTTTTTATAATGTTCTAAAATTTTATATCGTCTAGCAAGAGAATTTTTTTTATCAGTACGAATTATAATAAAAATAATTTTTGTGATAAAGAATAATTTAAGAAAAAAGAAATTCAAAAGAGAATTTTTATATTTGAAAAATCAATATGAGAAAATTTTTCTTCTGCAGAAAAATAAACAAAAGGGTATGGAAAAATTTTCTTCTACAAAAAAATAAACAAAGGATTATCAGTATTTATTAGTTAATAACAATCATTAAATAAGAAATTTTATAGAATATGATGAATCTTGTTTATAAATCGATAAACATGATGATCAAAATAGAAGAAATCTTAAAATCATAACAAATATAATATACAAGTTCAATTTGGTATTTACACATTCAAAGTATAAGAAAAAAATTTTGATTTGTATAATCTATTTATTTATTTATTAAAGATTTTTTCTCATATTATTATTTTTATTATTTTTTATTTTATATAAAATTTATATACAATTTTATAATTTTATATATATTAGTTTTTTAAAAAATTATAAAAAAATAAATCATTATAAAACATACAGTATTTTGATACAGAATCATTAAATACGTATACAAACCCTATAAAAAAGTATTATTTTCTTATTTACATTTCTTATAAGAAATTTATTTTAAAATGTGAATTAATCACAAATTTACACAATTTTTTATATTCAATATAATGAAATACTTTAATTATTACATTTTCTGATTTATTTATATGTAAATAAATAATATATTTATATAAAACTAATAATTTTATTAATACTATATGAAAACGTTTTCAGTAAAATCAAGTCATGAGGCATAGTAAATCATATAATTTACAATGTAATTTTATTAGAAACACTCCCATATAATGCATAATATATACAAATTATTTTTTAAAAAAACTTAAGTCTTCAGCTGATCTTTAGTATATATTGACTTTATTACTTAATTAATTATATAAAATAAATAAATACTAGGAACGGGGACCGTTGCTAAGTCCGGAGCATGTGTAATGAAAGTAACTAATAACGTATTGACTCAATTTTTGAGCGGACGGACAACAGGACATTTTTGTGTTATGAGTTCTAGACAATATAAGTCCTTCGTTACACTTCGGACTAATAAAAAAATAAAAAAATGATTTTAAAATAAGAGTTTTTAGCTAATATTTAATACAAACAGGATTTCACTACTTAATTAATTATATAAAAATAATATAAAAAAAATAATAAAAAAATAATAATTTGAAAAATTGAGTTTTCAGCCAATATTTGGTATGAATTAGACCGTACTATTTAATTAAATAGTAAAAAAATAGAAAATAAAAAAATAAAAAAATATTTTATTTTGTAATCTTGAATCTCTAGCTGATATTTAATATGAACTAGACCTCACTGTTCAATTAATAATATAAAAATTAAATTTTATTTTGACATAATTATTATTATTCTCAAAAAAAACTAATATTATTAAATTAAATAAATGATTATACAGTCATACCTCTCTATAGCGAATTTTTATATAACGAATTTTTTGGACAACTATATTAAATTTATCCTCGTTATAATGAACTAGCCAATCAAATTCTTTAAAAAATTCACTATAGCTCTATAGCGAAGTTGAAGTTCAGGACATAAAATTCGTTATATCAAAGGTTGACTGTATTTATAATTGTCTATATGGTTTATATCTTCTTTTATTTATTCTAATATCATAATTTATTCATCATATATCATTAAGAAGTTTATTTATTTAATTCCAAATTGTTTAGTATAAGAATATTTTTTAACGATAAGCATTTAAAATTGTAATAATTTTTATAGATTTAAAAAAATTAATAGATTTGTTATAAAATACTTTATTTATTTTTTTTTTGATTTTTAAAATGATTAAAACTAAAATTATATTTATATAAAATTTTAAGATAACTTTTTTT